AAAAACAAAATTAATATAATTAGTATTTTTTTTTTTTAATTCTAGAGAATAAAATTTTTAACAATTATTGACTATATTGTTATTTGGTATACATTTGCCTAAAGGATTTCTAGACTATATATTTATAGAATAACTTTTGCAAGAATATTTTTATCTACATGATCTAGATAATCTCAGATCTTCTTACTAATCTTAACTGCTAATTATATGATATATTATACAAATAAGATTATATAACTATAAATATTTTATATATTTTTGAAGTTTCAGTTTATAAAAAATTTGATTATATGATTTTTATCTGTGTAATATAGTTATCTAATTAGGGTTAGAAGAGGGTCAAAAACTAATATATTGTTATATCATACTGATTGTTCTAGTTTATAGGCAGAAGTTTGTCTGATTGACTAATAAATTCAATTTAATTTTATATTATTTATACAGTTTAGAGTGCTTTTTAAAAAATGAAAACTAATTATAATGATCTAATAAAAGTTGTATAGAAAGTTTTATTAGAACTATAAGATTTTATAGCCAAAAATAAAATCCAATTCTTGCTTATTTAAAAAAGTTAATATAGTAATATTTCTCAAAACCTGATAAAATCATTTTTGACTATACAGTTCTATAGCTCTAATAAAACCTTCTTTATATTTTTTTATTTTATTATAATTAGGTTTTATTTTTTAAAAAAATACTCTAAACTGTAAACAATATAAAATTAAATTTATTAGCCAATTAGACAAACTTCTGTCTAAGAGTTAGCAATGAACTATAATATATACTATCAATAGATATTGTTTATTGAGTTAATAAACATAGTTTATTAGTAGCTACTAAGCTATATTTTGGTTTATTGACTAACCCTAGTTTTATATATTAAATTCTAATTAGCTTATACAAAATATATTATATGTAACTATATATATAATACTTATAATTCTTAAAAATATAGTGACAATATATTAATCAATTATCTAATTAGAGAATAAGCTATAATGATATTATATGTAAAAAAGTCCAATATTTAATGATATTATATAACTAATATATATATTGTATATTTATCATTATAAGATTAAGTTAATTTAATATCATTAGTTAGTTATAAATATAAATATATAGGTTACCTTTTTTTAAAAAGACAAACATAGAATCCTTAAAACAATTTTGTTATAAAGTTATTTTTCACGAAGAATGATATTCTGCCAAATATTGATATAACAAAAAATAATATTTGTATGATATACAAAGATGCTATTAATTCAAGTATTAAAGAAGCAGTTACAATTTTAAATTGTAAATATTTTTACTATAAAGAATATATTAGAGAAAAGTGATCACTATATCAAGAAACAACTAATAGAATTGAAAATATACTAGTTGATTATCAAGAAAATAACTATTTTATTAGCTTATTATTGAATTTAAAACATGTTATTATTTTTATTTCACTTACTGATTTTACCAAATCTACTATATTTACCGAATATATTAAACCTCTCATGCTTACCAAATTCACTAGATCTATTATTAATATAGAATCTATCAAATTTATAGAATCTAATGAATCTACTAATAGTATACTTGTTGAATTTATTGAACTTTCATCTCTTTTATATTAGCAAAATCTATAAAATCTATCACTTCTTTTATATTAGCTGAATCTACAGAATCTATTATTTTTGTTAAACCTACTACATCTATTTCTGTATCTATTGTATCAATTAAATCTGGTGAAATATCAATATCTACAACCAAGTCTACTAAATCAACATCTAAAAAAACTAAATCTAAAGCAATATCTAGAAGAATTAAATCTAATACTATATCAAATAATACAACTATTAAGAAAACTAAACAATCCTATTAGAAGAGAAAATAATAATAATATTAATAACAATAATAATATTATTAATAATAATAAAAACAATAACAGTGATATCTGTATATAGTTAATCTAACTTTATATAAATATAATCTGTACTAAAGTAATGTATTTAAGGCAAATTAAGTAATAATTAAAAGTTGGTATGAATTTGCAAATAAGCTTGACAAACAAATTAATTAAACATTAAGGGATTAAGAAAATTTTAAATATAGAAGTTTAAAAAAAGTAGCAACATCTGAAGTATATAATAAACTTTTAAGCTATTTTACTAATATAACACAGATTGCTTTGAGAAAAAGAGTAAAAAAAGCAAGTAAGATTTATATCTTATTTAAGAAAATAGGTATTAATAAAATTAAGAGAGTTAGTACTTTTAGTACTGACAAAATTTTAGAATTCAATATATCACAAATTGAATATATTATTAAAAATATAACTGTATAATGTTAATTTTATTAATTGTAAAATACTAGTGATTAATTGCTTATATAAATTAGTTATATTTAAATAAATATAATAAATTTAATTTTTTAAATTTAAAATTTTTTTTTGATAGCAACAAAAATAAAAATACTAGCATTGCTAATAATTAAAAAAGCAGTCACATGATTTTCAAACTTCTTAATTTTTTTGAATCTGAGTAACTCTCAGAATATTAAATATCTTAGCTATAGCAAAAATAACCAAGTCATATAATGATATGCAAGTATATTATCCAATAATGAATTTTGATTTGGTATCATATGACTATTCTCTTGATTATTAGTTATACAAAAAATAGATCTAGTACTTATAGACAGAAGTTTGTCTAATTGGCTAATAAATTCAATTTAATTTTATATTATTTATACAGTTTAGAGTACTTTTTAAAAAACAAAAAGTAATCATAATAAAATAAAAAAGCTATATAGAAGATTTTATTAGAGCTGTAATATTTTATAATCAAAAATAAAATCTAATTCTTGTCTGTTTAAAAAAATTAGCCTAGTAATAAGTTGATTTTATTAGATTTTAAGAAATTATTACTATACTAACTATTTAAAATTAGATCTTATTTTTGGCTATAAAGTTTTATAGCTCTAATAAAACCTTCTATACAACTTTTTATTAGGTTATTATGATTAGTTTTGTTTGTTTAAAGTACTCTAAAATGCATAAATAATGTAAAATTAAATTAAATTTATTAGCAAATCAGACAAACTTCTGCTTATGAACTAGAATAGTTAGTATGATATAGCAATATATTAGTTTCTAACTCTCTTCTAACCCTAATCAAATAACTATATTACATAGATAAAGATTATATAATCAAATTTTTTATGGACTGAAATTTTAAAAAATATGCAAAATATTTATAGTCACATAATTTTATTCATATAATATATTATACAATTAGCAGTTAAAGTTAGTAAGAGGATCAGAGATCAGCTAGATCATATAAAGTGAAAATATCCTTGCAAAAGTTATTCTATGAATATATAGTTTAAGAATCTTTTGAGCAGTTGTATACCAAATAACTGTAACCAATAATTGATACAAATTTTGTTCTTTAGAATTAAAAAAGAATTTTTTAATTGTATGATTTTGTTTATAAATTTAAAAAATTTCAGAACTTATCAAAAAAAAATATTATATATAGCAATATATTTATGAATATTTAACCAAAAGTGAGTATACAAACTAGAAATACTGTAATATAGTTATATTATACTTCAATAATTTTAATTAAATCTATTAAATCTTAATACTCAGATCATACAATTTTTTAAAATTTTTTGTTTGTAATATATCCAAATATTATTTAAAAAAAGTACTAAAAACAATACAGTATGGTATTTATTATTCTCTTTTTTTTAAATATATTGTAGTAAATTCAGATCTATTAAATCAATCATGAAGGCTCTTCACTATTATTATATAATTATATATTATAAGTAATTTAGAATAATTTGTTTCTTCAAGTTTATAGATAGGTTCTTATTTTATTAATACTTTAATATCTATTATATATACTGCAATAGTTTCAAATTTACTAATTCAATCATAAAAATCCTTTACAATCATCATATGATTAGGTATTATGAATAGTTGTTTCTTATTTTAAGTTTATATATTTGATTAATACTCTAATATCTATTATTCTCTTTTCTTTAGATATACTGTAGCAGATTTAAATCTACTAATTCAATCATAATAATCATCACATAACTATATATTATAAATAATTTAGAATAGTTGTTTTTTACTTTATTTTTATAAATAATTTTTTTTATTTGTATTAATACTCTAATATTTATTATTCTCTTTTCTGTAGGTATACTGTGGCAGATTTAAATCTACTAATTTAATCATGAAGGTTCTTTATGATTATCATATAACTATATATTATAAATAATTTTGAATAGTTGTTTCTTACTTTATATATATATATATATTTTTTGTTTATACTTTAATATCTATTATTCTTCTTCTTTTAAATATACTATAGCAGATTCAAATCTACTAATCCAATCGTAAAAAACCTTCATGATTGTTACATAATTTACTATTATAAATAATTTAAAATAGTGTTTTTACTTCAAGTTTATAAATAGTTTTTTTATTTTTGTCAATATTCTAATATTTATTATTTTTTTTCTTTAAAAATATTGCGACAGATTCAAATCTACTAATCTAATTGTAAAAGTTCTTTATAATTATTACATAATTATGTATTATGAGTAATTTTGTATAGGTAGTTTTCATATTTTGTTAATATTCTAATATTTATTTTTTTTAGATATATTGTGGCAGATTCAAATCTACTAATTCAATCATAAAGATTTTTATGATCATTATATAATTATTGTTATGAAAGACTAAATAAGAATTAGACTTTTAACTGGTCTCATAAGTAATCAGTTCTTGGTCTTGAGACCGGTCTTTATAAATAGCTAATTAAAAATATTAAAAAATTATTTTAGATAATTGTTTATTTTAATTATATAATTTAATTTTCTCTACTAACCAATAGGATAGTTAAAAGTCAGGTTCACTTTAAAAAAAGTATTTAAAGACTCTTACTATCTATATCAATTTTAGTTCATAGTGATTCTATTGTGATAATAAAACAAATCAAGAGAATTTTTATTTGTATAGATATAAAGTATTTAATAGTTAGATGGTAGGCTTAGTTAACCAAATTCTTACTATAATATACTACTAATTTAAAAAATAAAAATAAGATTGTTGAAATAAAAAAATAAAAACAAATTAAAAATAAACTTTAATAACAATTATAAAAATATATTTTTTCTAATAATTATTTTTATTCAATATTTTCTATTCATATTAGCAGATTTACAAAATTGGTTCTGAATTGATTCTAAATTATATCCTCAAAGTTATTTACAAAATAAATACCAAATTTTGTATATAGTTGATATACATATATATAAAATAATTTAAGTGATCAATAGATAGAATTATACTGTATATAATATGTATATAATATTAAATTATTTCTCTTTAATTATTGACAAAAGGATTATATCAAATTAAAATTATATTTAGAATTGATTTAATTATTAATTATATATATAGAAGAATGTGATTTAAATATATAAAATTTATTTAGAATTTTACTAACTATAACTGGTAGTGATCATTACTAGTATATAATTAGCTAATAAAATTACAGAATCAGGTGTAATGTGCAAATTAATTTATATAACTACAATAAAGATTTTTTTTAAAAAATGCTAATATCTTAAGAATTTGTCTATGAAACTATCTTTGATGTTTTAACAAAAAAATTTCTTGCTAAATTTCACATATATCTAATATTTTGCTAAAATTCCAGGCTTTACCCTAACTCTAAAATAAATGAAATGAAATATTTTTTTAGTTTATTATTATTGGCTAATTATACATAGTAATAATCACCACTAGTTATTTTAAGTAAAAATCATTTATTTATATAATTGAAGTTACATTTTTTCTTAATATCACATATTTATATCTATCATATTTCATCTAGTAAAGAATTTTCTGCTTCTTTAATTTATATTAGATATATTACCAAGTCTATTGTCTAATAAATATAATAACCAGGTGTGGCAACTTAGTGAAGTGGTTAAGTTGTTATACCCCCAAGCGACATGTTGGCTAGGTAGAAGGTTCGAAACCCACTGATGACAAATTTCAAAAATTCTATCTGTACGATGGCTAGTATTGTTCCATTGATTGGTTGAAATATCTCTGTAACCTTGGTGGTACCAACAAAGATTGGAAGATCATGGGTATTTGTGCAATATATGAATTATACAAATAAGCTTTCAGATTATAGTAAACTCAGAGAACCGGAAAGACGATAAATGCTTGTTTGGCAAGACCTGAGTAGAGAGGTAGCACAGATCTTTGATGGTACTACCAAAAGATCGTTATTGGAAGAACTGGCAAAACCAAACGGGACTGAAGTGTTTGGCAAGGCACTCTACTAACCAGGCTGCCAGAAGAGTAACCTGAGAAAAAGAACCTAATTATAGGGACCAGGAGCAGACTATAGCCCTTCCAGGCTATCTGAATTGGTAGTTTGAAATTGTTGGAATTAAAACTAGTAGTAGTCTGTAAAGTGTGTACTGGGTCTGGATAAACTCTACAAGAGCAGAAGTAGGTAATGGTAGTAGCTAGTCTCGGCTTGCAAATTGCTATCTTCAGACTCGATATAAGTTATCAAAATCTAGGTTAGCCAGATTGTAGGTATGGAAAGCTCTAGCAAGTTTATCTCAAGGATAAATTAGCTCTAGGTCAGGTGCTTCCTATAGCAGATATTGGTTCTTTATAAGGATATAGCAGCACAGAGGGTTTAAATAGATAATTCCCTAATTGGATTATAGGTATAATATCTAGTGTAGAACCTTCGGGCGAACTACTTAAATAGGCAATCAAAAATTGTACATGTGACTAGTTGTACTCTCTAAAACTATATACCAAATGAGTAA